GGTCTATTGACTGGATTTTCCTATTCCGGATTATTCCCTTCTTGTGCTGCTTTTTCTGGGTTGTTCAAATTCCATCTTCCTTTTTAATAGATGAGCATTAGGTAAAGTGTTTACCTAACTAACGACGTACTAACTACCTAACTAACATCGAAGAACTAACCGACCCTATTGAAGCTGGCACTGGGATAAGACAGGGAGATTGCCTGAGTCCTCTATTGTTCAACCAGATTATGGATGGAATAAAAGAGTAAGAACTAAAAAAGGATACCAAATACGAGAAAAACAACTTAATTTCTCCAAAACGTATGGTTAAAACAGCAAATTTATAATGTAAATTGGAGCTGGAAGGTCAGATCATAGAACAAGTGATGGAGTTTAAATATCAGGCATCACATTATCTTGCTACGGAATGCTCGAAACTAAAATGTAAGATTAAGTGAATAGAGCAACCAGAGATGCAGGTTGCATTAATGAAACAATATGGAGAAATAAAAATATCGGCAAAGAAATGAAAGGAAGAATTTACCAAAGATCAGACCAATAATGGCATTCGCGGCAGAAACACAGAGAGGAAACTGCAGAAACACAGACGATTCTCCAATAGGAAGACGATCAGTAAGAAGACCACGAAAACGATGGAATCATAACTTACTGGAGGCACATTGAAAACCAGGCAGTTATGTCTACATAAAAAGAAAAAGTATTTACCATTATTTGATGCTGTTTTATCAGCTGGTACTCCTGTTTGTGTTTATTTTTTTTTTTGCCGAAGGTCTCTAATTTCTTTCGGGTAATTGTTTAGTATTTAATTTTAAGCGTTTCCTTCCAAGATGCTGGTTGAAAATGTTTACAAAAAGTTTGAAAAAGTGATGACATTGATAAAATAAAAACATAAGAGGGGTCATGGAAAGACAAATGCGAAATACAATAAAAAAAAGTATAAGGCAGAGTTGAGTTAAGAGGAAACTGAAGTAAGAAATATTCTTCATAAAGTTTTGTCCTCTACCGAAGGTTGGATATCAACATGGCATCTCTGATTGTTTCAACGTCAAGTCCCGTAGTGTCATCATCATTATTCTGTCTTTGCACTCTGCGTGGGTCCCTGCTTCCTCAAGAATTTCTCTACAGTCGTCCCTATCCATCGCATTCCTCCGCCAAACACGTATTCCCATATTTCTCGATGTCTTCATCGATGTTATCAAGGAACCTTGTTCTTCGTCTTTCTCTTCTTTAATTTTTGTATTTCTTTGTATAATTGTTGATTTAAGGAGGAGATTGAGCTCAAAATAGCACATGTGCAAAGTCTGCGATTTATTTTTGCGGTAGTATTATTTTCAGTGTTAAGGAGCGCTCCCAGGTATACTCTGAGAAAACGTAACATCTGATCGTTCAAATTCTGAGCTCAAGACTAAGGTCTGACCTTATAAAAAATGTTCAGAAGTGTTTTCCTCGCTTGTTCGATTGTTGACAGGATTCCTTTTTTGGTTACACTGACTGTTGATATTTGCTCCCAAATATTTTATGGAAGTTACCTGTTCTACTATTTGTCCCTTGGCGTACACATGTAAGTTTACTGCTATCTTTGAAAATACTAGAATTTTAGTTTTGGAAACATTTAGATGTAAACCGAACATTTCGCTATGACGAACTACCGCATTTATTTTATTTTGTAGGTCTTTTGATGGTTTACGCAGTCAAATGCTTTTTCATAATCAATAAAACATTCATAGACATCTACATTCATGTCTCTGCATAGTTTTACACGTAAGGCAAAAAGAGACATGACACATCACGCTTAATATTCAATAATCATCGTAGTTGAGACATTGGATTTTTTTGGTAATGTCTGGTAATACCTGTCTGATGGTATTTTACCTGTGTCATATATCTTATTGAACATTGCTGTTATTAAGTCGAGGCTTTTACTTTCGTTGTCTACAATTAATTTAAGTATTTTGACATTGATACTGTCTATCAGTTTTTCTGATCTGTTATTGCATAAATAACTTCTTGTTATTTTTTGGATCTTTTTTCATTTATTCGATCATCCGTGGATGGTGGAGAACAAGGTCTATCATTGGCAAAAAGTGTCTGAATGTATTCTTTCTATCTCTGCGGTTTGTCTTCTGGACCTATAATTATCTCGTTATTTGCATATGAAATATTAGAAAATATCAAAACTAGAATGTTGATTTGGAGAGCACAACATCAGATATGAAGATGAAAGGTGGAATAATCCACAGTAAATACCTTGGGCAAACATAAGATCCCAATAATCTCACAACGACATAATTCACAGTCCAGAGATATTTGAATATAGCAATAAAGATAAGAATGAAAGAAGTTAGGTGTCTTATGTTAACTTTCACCAACGAAGGTGATATAAATAGATAATCTGCAAACTTAGTCGTGGTTTCGTTTTTGTAGATATATTTTGAAAATGAGTTGGCAATATCTGTGGTCGCTTCCTTATATAAGATACAGACATATCTAAGTAAATATTGCATTAAACAACCATCAATTATACAGTCTTTCAATATTAGCAAATCAAGCATAGAGCTGTTTTTTTTTTTAAATCGTTACCTCAGTAACTAGTAATCACAGAAGACTCATTCCAGTACTGATGTTAGATTTTACGTTTTTGTGCCGTTCTTGCATTACTTCAACATGTTGGCAGAACTTAAAACACTTACCTCTTTACACTAAATGTTTTAAATTTGAAAAATTGATGTGCAAGGTAATTAATTTTTGTGGTAAAATCCGTTATATCTGTTATGTAGAAGATACCAAAAAAAAGTTAATTATTTATTTAGGTAATAGAACGTAGTGTGTAGCCATATATACGTATAAATTAAATTATATTCCACTATATATTTAATATTCTACTCTAATGTTTTTACAGTTTATCTGAGTATCGATATTCTTCGTCTTCTAATCTAAACGCATTTTCTTCAAAGCATTTTAATAAGACATCCTCAATTTATGTTTTTGTGGCTATCTTATCATAATCAATGTCCATCTCGATTTCCGTAGATTTCTTGGAAATTATTGCATGTTTGCATAATTGAACCCTGCAATGAGTATAATAATCAAAGTATTTCAAACCATGTTTAAGGCAGCCGCATGATTTGAAGCAGTCTTTTTTGAAGTTACAGCTAATCTTTTTAGATAGGTTCTTAACCATTTTTTTTCAAGCTCCCAACCCCACTCTCTAGAGTTGAAATTATTACTCAGGCATTATTGAACCTAAACTATATAGTATCCTGAAGGTTTTTAAATGAATCTCCCATCAAAACAAATGTCTCTGCGCACGATGTAACAGTCTCTCTCATATGGCTGCCTTGTCATACTGGAATTACTGGTAATGAAACAACAGATCATTTTGCCAAAGAAGCTACCAACAGATATACTGGAGTCACCACAATTCAACTAGCTAACAATCTCAAATTCGTCTTCAAAATGTCAGTAGAGGAATCTTCCTGGACTTCCTAACTAGAAGAGAAGCATCGACTATTAGAAGACTCCGAATTAACCACACCAAACTTTTCCACGGTTTCTGGATGTCCTCTGGAACTTGTCCAACTTGCCATCATTACAATGTTTACCTGACTGTAAAACACATTCTCACCGACTGCAAACAATTCACCAACCTGTATAAAGCATTGAACTTGAAACCTACTCATTAAGGAAATGCTGAACAACCCTACAGAGATCACAAAAACTCTACAGTTTCTAAAAACCGCTCAACTCTGCCACAAGATTGCACCTAATAGACATTAGTTAAAGTCATACAATTATTATGTATTCTCATTATTTATCATATATTTAATATAATTGTTCCTGTACCAACGGCCATGGTTAACGAGGTATAAAAAAAAAATAAGTGAATTAAAGAACTATCACATGACAATGAGAAATTATTACTGTAAGTTATAGACGTAATTAAATTTTGAACAGTTTTTTTGAATATATAATAATGATAATTACAATGATACAAAACCATCCTTATAATAAATAAAAATATGCGATAAATAAAGCTTATTTTACGGTAAATCATTTTTGATGTTTTTAAGGGGCCTATAAACTTTATTAATACGTACTTTTTACATTAAAATGGATTGAATGGAATCGTAGACAATTGAAATTTTTAAGCGCGACGCGATTTTAAATTGCGGAAATCAATTGCGATTCGGTCGCGACTCTCTCAATTACCATCACCACTAATTCTCGTCATTTTTTTTTTTAAAACGGACTACTTTTAATTGACATTGTAACCAACTTGTAGTGGTCTTCAACTAATGTCAATTTGTACCCAATGAGCGCTTGGTATAATACAGGTTTTATTTAAAAAACAATCTCTAGAACCTTATACTTTTATTATAAATTGCAGTCAATTTTGACCGATTATAACTCCGAAGTAATGAACCGATCATCTTTTTTTAAGAATCGTTCGAAGCACTTTTAATATCCGTTTTGAAAATGAAAATCGATCAACAATAATTGATGACGTGATTCAAATGTTTATAAGCCTAAAATTAAAAAAAAAATTTAATTCCCTATGAACTTCTAATGGACGGGATTATTATTTATCTAAATGGGCTTGAATGCTCTTCTATATGTAAATTTTTTAACTTACACATTTTAGTTTGTGACCGGCATAATTGCAAAAACTATTAAATCGATTTTAATGAAATTTTGTGTGATGATTAAACATATTAAACAGTTTTTTTTTTCTTGTAATATGAATGATTTTAGTATGGGAAATAACTTGCAAAAAAACCTTTTTTTTAACTGTTTTTTGTGTTTTTTCAATAATAATAATAATTTTTATTAACTATATTTTAAAATATGAATCTTACACCTACCTCCTATTTTTGTAAATAAATTTTTTTCGTATTTCCAATAATAACAGGTATAACGACTTTGTCACAAAAATTGATCACCCTGTATTTGATGATTTCTATAAATACATGTTATTAATTTGCTTATTGTATTTTCAGATTCCGATTCCTCGTATTCTGTGGACTACGATGATGCATCCGTGATAGATGACAGAGATATCAGATTTAGAGGAGAATTACACGAAAGCGATGTGGTTGAAAACATCGAACTTATTTAAACTGTGTAGCTAAAATATAATATGATCTCTTCAGAAAGCATTTATTGTTCAATCAACTTATGTAACAGATTTCATACTTTGGAATAAGAAAACTTTCATAATCTTACTAGAACTACTTAATCACAATATTACAAACTCTTCATGTTAATAGGTTAGTTTAAAACCTTATTTTGTTTATCATTTACAGTTTAAAACCGTACTTTTTGAATGTCCTAAAGAACTCAGTTACTTCAAATTATATTATAACCTATAACAACTTTAACAACAAAATTAGAAATAAAAAATGCATTTTTAGGTTATGTATACTCAACCTAGGGACCTATGAAAAATAGTCAAGTTTTGTAATAACCTAATTTTTAAGTTGCAACCTAACGAAAAACAGATTTTTGTCGAAAAAATCACGTTTTTTGATTGTAGGGTGAGGGGCCAAGGTGGCGGACGAAAATTACACCGTCTTATTTTTTTATTCACATAGATTGTAAAAAATGAAAAGAAAATTTAATTCTGGGTGTCTATTTTAACGGAGGGTACCCTTTTGTAGAAGATCTCACGGATTCCGGCTACATTGGAATAATACCAGAATGAGCTTTTCTGGTACCTTCGAAATAAATGTTTCTTTTAATTATTGTACAGAATTTTTATAATTTAGTATATGAGAAAGTAGCCTGTTTTATTTACCGATGTTCTAATGCTCTAGCTAAAAATCTGAGTATAAATATAAATGTAAGATTATGAGATGTTTTCGTTTGGACACTGGAGATTTGAAAGATTTATTTATTTGTTTTTATGTTTCAATTTTTAATTTTCAGTTTTGTATTAAAAAAAATAGATATATTTTTGGAGCTAGTTTTATAAATATCCAATGTCAGATTTTTCTGATGAACATCAAACTGTGTAGTATTTATGCTTCATAGTATTACGCATTTAAGGCATAAAATTTTATCTAAAATCTGTTGCAATATCCAACGCTTTATGTGGGATTTTTTTATAGAATTGACACTCATCCCTTTTTATTGGTCATAATTGTCAAATATATTGAAAAGTGTTGAATATTGGATCATGTTTATAAAGATTATATGACGGCGTGCATAACTTTTACATATATTTATATTATTTCTTTATTCAACCAATGTAGTTACGAAATATTAAGCAAGCAAGCAAGCAAAACTAGTAATCCCGTATTGAAAGAGGTTTGTATACCCATATGTATATTCTGGCACACAAGTTATTGGAGTGAAAAGATTGGTCCAAGTAAATTAGTAGCCCCAGTAACACGCTGATGTCCTATGGGAGGCTACTATCATAGTTATTCTTGTTATAAGAGAGTCCCGAAGAAAAAGGGCCCTTATAATGATTCCTTTACCGAGTAATGCGAACAGTACTTGGGGAGCAAAGTGTTCAACCAGTGCATTCTTCCTATCGTGACATATGGATGTCAAACCTGGACACTAATCACAGTAAATATTAATTAACTAGCCACAACAGAAAAGGCAATGGAAAGAACATAGATACATAGATTTAAAGATCTGGGCCTTTTGGCCTGCTCCACTGCGATCTTTTCAGATCTATTGTGGTCCTCTAGTCCTAGATAACATTCTCTAGCCTGACCCTTTTTAAAAAGTCTAATAGCTTCGAGACTGTACCTTCCATGTAGCTATTTGAAGGTGGATTTTCTTCTACTAATGCAAAGAACTGCGCATTTGCCAGACTGCCACGCTGACTTAGAATGTGCTCTGCTGTTTTTCTTAGACGTGACAGAATCTGCACAGGTCATCATCTGATAATCCCATTAGCTTCAAGTGCCTACTCATCTTACAGTGCCCTGTTAGAAGACCTACTACGGGCTTTGACTGTTTTCCTGTCTTTGCTTATTAGATCTGCCGTAAATTTTGGCGAATGTTCTTTAATGAACTGTTTCGCCTGCCTTTGTCCTGGTCAATTCCTCAACCATTCCAGAGATTTGTGAGTTATCCACTTCCTTGTAGCCGTTCTTGTTACTGTCCTTGCAACACCGCAGAAGGAATCAGGTTCAATGAATGGCATTGATGCGCCTTGTTTGGCCATTTCATCTACTTCTTCATTGACCTTATGACCCTCGTGCCCCGCTACCCAGGCTACCGTAACCTTGCTATGGTCTCATAGTTTATTTAGGGTACACACCATCCCATACTAGCTTAGTATTGACCTCTACAGAATTTAGTGCCGTAAGCTCTGCCTGACTATCTGTGAAGATAGCAACTGAACAGAAAGTTCTTTTCTGCCTTTCTATTTCTTTCACGCAGTGATGGATTGCCGTTGTTTCCGCCTGGAAAACTGTCACATCCTTAGATAGACTTACCGGGAAATGTATCGCTTGATTTATCCCTACTATGCCAGCACCCACACCCTCCGATGTTTTTGAGCCTTCCGCGTACCAGGTAGCAGCAGCGTGTATGAGTACACCTTCACTCCAGTCTTCCCTGCTTGGTATTTTAATTGTGAACTTATTGTCAAAGCTATATCTCGTAGCTGTTGCATCGATATGTTGCCCCATTACGATATCGGCTTTTACCTCCTCGATTAGCTTTCTTTTGTCAGCACCATGCATCTGGCTTATATGTCGCCGACTATGGATTAATCTGTGACACTCGAGATTCAGCAGGACTTCCAAAGCTGCTGTAGGAGTTGTTTTTTTGGCCCCCGTATACAGGCGTGCTACCCTTTGTGTATTACCTAGCAGCCTTATAGCTCTCACTTGCTGCGTCTTTGTCCACCACGTCACTGACCCATAGGTTATCATTGGTCTAAGAGCCCTTGTGCATGATAATAGAGTCATTTTGGAGTTAAGTCCCCAATTCTTACCGCACATTCTTCTACACCTGGCCAACGGCATAGTAGCTTTCTGTGTGGTTTTCAGAAGGTGAGTATTCCATGTAGTCTATGATGAAAATGTACCCCAAGGTATTTTGTTTCTTTGGCAAATGAAATCTCCGTTTTCTTTCCAGCACCGGTGGTTTTAGGCCTTGTAGGACTGTTAATTATTAATCTTAAGAAATCACAATTAGTGTTATTGATTTTAAGAAACCAAGATCAGTAGTCTTTGCTCAAAAATTGAATTTAAAAAATCGAGATCAATGATATTTTTTTAAGATCGATCTTAAGAAATTATGATCTGTGGTTTTGCTTGAAGATTGATCTTAAGAAGTCACGATTAGTGGTATCAATTATAATAAATCAAAATCAATAGTAATTATTGAAGATGGGATTAGAAAAATGAAATATGTGGTACTGATGTTTCAGAAATCAAGATCAGCTTTTTTGACTAAAGATTGGTTTTGAGGAATTAGGATTTGTGATATTGATTGAAGATTGATTTTAAGAAATCAAGGACAATGATTTTTGTTGAAGATTGGTCTTCAGAAATTATGGTCAGTAGTAGTATTGGTTGAACGTCGATTTTAAGAAATTATGAACAATGGTTTTGATTAAAGATTAATCTTATAAAGATCAATGCTACTTATTAAATATTGGTCTTAGAAATTAAGATCAGTGGTTTTGATTGAAGATTGATCCTCAGAAATCATGATCAGTGGTGTTGATTGAAAATTGATCTTAAAAAATCAAGATCAATGGTCTTTATTGAAGATTGGTTACTAATTTTAAATAAGTAAATTAAAAGATTGATCTTAAGAAATAATGATCAGTATTGATTGAAGAGTGATTTTAAGAAATCGAAATCAATGGTTTTTAAATCAAAATCTTAAGAAATCGCGACCAATGTTATCGATTCTTGTAAATCAAGATAACGTATTTATTGAAGACTAGTTTTCAGAAATTTCGATTAGTGGTTTTGATTAAAGATTTAAAAAAATCAAGATCCATGTTTTTAATTGATCTTAAGAAATAAAGAGTAATTCTATTTATTGAAGATTGGTCTAAAGAATTTATGATTAGTAGTATTGATTGAAGATTGATTTTCAGAAATCACGCTCGTTGGTATTGATTGATAATTGATTTTAAAAAATCACTATAAATAATATTGATTGGAGATTGATTTGTAGAAATCAAAATCAATGCTTTTGATTGAAGACTGATTTAAAGACATTTGGTTAAATTATTTTTTACTCTTATTGATGGTAATAACACAACATATTTGTACGCAAGAAAACCACAAAACTATTAATATGTCGGAAAAAATTATGCACCCCATCGTATAATACGGGTAATGTTCTCTCTAAGGATTATAACAATGTTTTAATATAAAATATTTCCTATTTTCGTGCCATTTTAAGAAATTTATTATACGTATATATGCTCCCATAGTAGCAGTACAATTTTACTTTTTGTTTTTTAATATTTTTACGTTTAACACAAATTTTTATTTTTCATGTTCAAAATGTTATGATTGTCACCATTTTTAGATTTATCAACACAACAGACGAAGATGACTATGATCGTTGACAATTATTAAACTGTATTTTTAATTGTAACTGCTAGGCTGGATAAGCCTCACTCATATAAATGAGTAGTTTAATAAGTTCATGATTCAATTCAAACGCCAGCAAAAAATTTTTTATAAATGTCAACTACATAACTCTTCATTTTCTTCTAATTACTTCAATTATCTTTCTTGGACTTTTCTACTTATCCGTAGATAGTACAATTAACAAAATTATAATTACCGTAATTTTGGGGGACTTTGATTCACTTTCGAAGTTTAAATGTAGATTTCATTAATTTGATTATATAAAAGTATGTTTATTTATTTATTTTTATTTGAGTTTTTGGCTACTTTTTTGCAAAAATTACACTAAAACGCAAAGAAGGGCTTACTTTATTATAAAAAAATAAATATGTGTTTTGCAAAGTCACCTGCTAGTGTCGGGTGACTTTGTTTTAAGCTACATTTTACATTTATTCTTTGTTATTATTATTGTTTGGGCTAAAGTCACTATACATAGGGCCTAAGTTCACAAAAAACATAATTTCGTAACAAAAAATGAACAATAAAACGATATACAAGCTTTTTTTTTTTAATCTGGAAAAAATATCGGTTATCTCCAAGTTTCACTGGCTCTGTGAAATCAATATTACCCAAGTGGTAGGATTTCTCTTACTACGACTTCGGACCATTGCCATAAACTTCTTTGACCCAGTACCAATTACTTGCACCCAACCGTAGCAGTTATTACTACCTATTACAAATCCATCGAATTTTCCTGGAAAGCTGTCCAAGTAGTCGGATATAATTACGAAGTCTCCAACTTAAATGGAAAACTCTTGTATTATCTTGTATCTGCATTATTCCTATAGCTCTCATTATATGCAGAATTAGACGTAGTATCTGCAGTGTTTCCAAAATCTTGTTTTTTGTTTTGAAACGTTTTGTTTTTTTTTTACCATCTTATGTTTAGGCAATTCACTAGGCCAGCTGCAGCAATGGTCACTTATTCAGAGATTTTTTGATCTAGGCTACTGCCTACTGTTACGCAAATCTGATTATTGCCTTGATTGCTCGTCTGTTCAGTTTTCCTTCCAATCTTACGTTTTGCTGCCATTCCATTTTTCGTTTTTGATTTTCTTGTAGTGCTGTTTTTTTACTGGCTTCTTCTCAGCTGTTTTTTTTTTTTTTCATTGCAGCATCTTGTTGACTGAACATCTTCAGCACAGATGTTTATTCCTGCTGCAATTTCTATTTTTCTTTTTCTTTTAACAACTCCATCAACTGTAGACTGCAATCCCATTTTTTCTGCAAGAAAATTTAAAACAGCGTGACTTACATTCGAAGGTACTTGCGCAGCATCAATTTTATAGTTTTCAATTCTGGTTAGTACTTCCTTTGCTTTAGGAGAAAAATGTCCCATTTTCTAAAGCCACTTTCCAAATTTTTTCCGCCATTTACAATAATTATTTCAATCAGTTTTTTTGTGTGGTACAAGTGTGGTAAAGTTAATAAACCCTGTAGTTGTTACAATTTACTTAAATACTTTATATACAATTACTTTAAATACAAATTTAAAATTAGCATTTACATAATTTAATTTAATATAGAACCAACGAATGACCAAAATCCGAGAATCAATAACTGGGCCAAAGTCACCCGAAAACCGATAAATTCTGTAGCACCTTGCAAATAATACCCAACCTTCTTAGTGTCTATGTTTAGACTGAAGTAATGCTGCATAGCGTTTAAGAATTTGCAGATTTTCCATACGCAACTAAGTAATTAATCTTACCCTTGGATGTATTATTGGTTGCCAACCAATTTTTCTGGATCAAAAAATCTTATGTGAAATGGCTCATTTTAGAAATTCGGTTTTTTCTTAATATAACAAGTATTACCGTAATTTATTAAAATTTTCCTACAGATCAGTTTATGGTTACTGATGGTCCTGTGGTGTGGAATAATAAAATTTATTTACAATGTATTATACAAAAGCCCTAGTTACTATAATATCTTTCTCCCAAAATGAGCCAAAGTTACGCTGGTGGGCCAAAGTCACCGAAATTACGGTATAATAAAATTAGATTTAAAAACACCATAAAGCTGTTTACCTAATTACTCATCTTTGGTATTTTTTTATCCCATTGCAAATATTTACTTGGCGGTTTGCCAGAAGAGATAAAAGCAGTACTAGCCATTTACAGCCTTGCCAAGTACTAGAAGGTTAATCACTGGATTAAATCATTTTTCATAACATCCTACACTTATAGAGATTTAATCGTAGCGAAAATTGTACTGTTACCGGGATATTTAAGGATTTTATTAGTTTTAAGCGTTATTTTTATAGTTTTATGTTAGCTTGGATGGTAACAATGCTTTTAATGTTATGTACCATTTGTGACAATGTATAACAAGTGTTGGTGTACTGTCATTTTGGTCCATTATGCATTTATACCAAAAAAATATCTGTTAGGGAATTTGTTTGTAATAATCTTAACTTGATTGCTACAGATAAATTTGTGATAGTACCTGTCTTTTCTGTTACCATTGATATCGTTGGATTTGTTGTATTTGTTTTTTAATAAATACCAAAAAATTTTTAACTGATTTTTTATAAAAATAATATACTTGTATTGTAGTAGAAATGCCAAAAAAATTATCGCCGCTTTTGTTTAACTTATATTCTGAAGAAATTTTCCAAAACACGCTCAATAATATCAAAGCGGGAGTTACAGTTAACGGAAAGTCAATTGACAACTTACGACATGCAGACGACACTGTGATCATAGTAATGAGTATAGAAGATCTACAACATCTTATCAAAGATGCTTAAGTATGAATAGTGCTGAGATGGGAATTACTATAAACCCCAAAAAAGGAAGTACATACTTGCTAATTACAAAAAGACCACAAAATATACATCACCTATTGACAATCAATGGTAACGTGATAGAACAAGTAGAAAAATATCAGTACTTGGGAACTTTGATCAATGAAACTAAGGATCATACTGCAGAAATAAACAGGCGAATAGAGATTGTCAGATCAGCATGTATACGAATCACGCCACTCCTAACGTGCAAAAATCTAAATTTGGATATTAGACTACGTAACATTCGCTGTTATATATTTTCAATATTATTATCTGGAGCTGAGACTTAAAAAAAATGCAATTTAAAAAGAATCGAGGCTTTCGAACTCTGGTTATACCGCAGAGTATTAAAAATATCATGGACTGATAGAATTACAAATAAAGAAATATTGGAGAGGGTTGGTAAAGAAACAAAACTAATCACCACTATATAAACTAGAAAACTGAAATACCTAGGCCCGTGATGAGGAGGACCAAAATATGAAATTTTTAGACTCATAATACAGGGAAAGATTTACGGAAGATCTGTTAGCCGAATGGCAGAACTCATGGTTGAAGAATCTACGTGATTGGTATCAATACAGATCGATTGATTTGTTTAGAGCATGCAAGTTCAAAATAAACATAGCCATTATGATTGCCAACCTACGTAGGGACACGGCACTCTAAGAAGAATTAGTAGAACCGGCTGAGAAAATACAAGAGTAAAACTATATTTGCAAAAATATGGAAATAGTTTTAATATATTAGTTCTAAATAGTAAAATATGTTAAAGTCTTAATAAGACTATATATAGAGAATATATATATATATAATATATATATAATATATATATATATATATATCTATTTGATATTTAAAGTCTTGGTGCGCCAAACAATAATTAGCTAATTAATTTTTTTATTAATTAAAATTATTTAAATGATATGATTATGACTCTATCACAATTTTTAATTCTTTATCTCAGGGTTAAATTCGTGCTTCAATATCTATGCTATTACATGTGAAAGGTAAGGTCCAAAGAATACCGGAATAATAAAAAACACATATGATCTAACACTATATATTGAAATAAAAATAATGAAATAATTCACACTCAAAAGTTTTCAATAAACAAAATCTCATATAATAATTCTCAAAATTTTGTTCTACGTACGTGAACAATCAAAATTAATGGTACAAACAATATTAGTTGAAATCTCAAAATCCAAGTATTACTCTAAATCTCCTAATCAAAATATTTATATCCTTTCTAAATTAAGTGTAAAAAATTGTGTTATCAATGAAAGAAAAACTGCAGAAAACAAAACTATCTCTCTCTGATGATGAGTGGTCCAAATCCTTGTTATTTGTAGACTATACTATTTACTCGTGGCCGCTCCCTAAGTAATCAGCAATCTTACAATAAATTATTGCAAGTATCTCGTCCTTAATGATCTCCTTCAAATGCACGAATCGTTCAAATTATGCTAGCTTCTTCTTCTCTCAATAAACTGAATCTCTCGTTGGCCTGAGTGAAAAATGACTCTTGGAATATCTTTTCTTTACGATAAACTGAATCTCTCGTTGGCCTGAACAGTGACTCTTGGAATATAAGTAGAAAAATATGACTTACAATATTTTACTGGATCAGCTTCTGTCAGATACACTAACTACACGAAAACTCACAAACTTTCACTGCTACTGCTTCCTACCTCTGGGAAACTACCCGAGAACAACGGCCGTTCGCCTTGCACCCTTGGAAACCAACTAACTATCTTTTTTCACTCCGAAATCTAGCTAAACTTTCATTCCTACATACCTCCCACCTTTTTTAATCTCCGCCAATCAAAACTCGTCACAATTCCCCATTCTTTCATTCCGATAACAAACAAATTTTTACCTATAATTATAAAATTTCCTAAAACTTATTTACAAATAATATTTTTCTATAATTCTTAAAAACTAACAAAAACTCTTTCAAAACTCTTCTATTGTCTTTAATCGCTGCGTTAATGTATTTGGAAAAACCCGGTTCAATTGTCTTTGGGATTTCACTTAAAATTATGCGGGTCACTCAAGTATAGTATAACAAAGGAAATAATTTATGCTTAGCTTACATTTTGTTTAATACAGGTAATCCAAAAATTTAAATATTTTCCTTCTTCGAAATGTTGTGGTTGTTATTAATCCTACTTATCTGAATTATTTTAATGATTTTTGAACTTTGAAATATTTTAATCAAACCAATATTTTCTTCTCGATTTTATATATCATAAACAATATATATAAATATATATATATATATATATATATATATATATAAATATATAATATATATCATCAATTAATCCCTTTGTCCGTTTTAATTAGTAACAAAAAATCAAAATTCTATTTATGTTACTGCGAATACTCCTCCGTCTCAATATAGATGTTAGTAAAAAACGGTTTTAGAAAACGGGAAATTTAGAAAGCGCTAAAACGTTCGTATTATCCTTTCTTCATAGTTTTTGGCAAAAAATCACTTCCACTCACTCACACTTTTTATTAACCCATTGCTCAATATCTTTTCTTTCCGTCTCCAATCTCCCAGTCACTATCTCCAACAACTAGGTCAGCAGCAACCTTCTTTACTGACTCCACCCTTATCCAAGTGTTTTATAGCACTTAATTTGTTTCTAAAAAAACCACAACTCGTTTACGTTTTTAAACTCGTATGCACGTCAAGTTACGTGGAAACTACAGAAAGACAAGACTTGAATGAAATTGTAAGAGCTTACAGCGGGACGAACCGAACAGCTAGCTGTGAAGACTCAAACTGATGGGTGGGGGGCGGCCAGTAGAAGCATAGTGGCTAGAACAATAACACTCGCTAGTGACTCATCTCTGCAGAGTACAACAGCAAGCGCACCCGCTTTCACTTAATCTGGCTCTCCTAGCTAATTTATTACATAATTTATTCTTTTCAATTCTACCTCGGTTAATCCAGAGGCTCGGTTAGTTGGTATTCTGATAATCGCGAGTCTACTGCATTACCACTTAGACTTAAAAAATTGTTTCTACAAAGGATTATTTAATCCAAGTTTAGACACTTAGTCAGTTCCAATGTCTGAAACTGGACAGAAACTGTCTGGAAGTAGCTCAGTACTTGTGTCGCAATAAGAAAAAAATTCACAACAATAAGGTTAAATAAATAAGTCGCTTCTTTTCCTTTAACATACTTTTATTATTATTATTATTATTAATCCTAATAAATAATAGTAGTGTACCTATTTAAATAAATAAATAATACATGTATGTAGTTTTAAAGCACATAAAACGTTAACACAATCTACTACTAATTTAATCCTATTAATAATAACTTATACTTATAATAAAATAACTATAAGTAATCTTACTAATACTAAAACAAAAAATTAAAAATGATAGAAGGTCTGGGGAAAATTTAATAAAAATTGTAATTTTTATAAAATACTGACTAAATGCTAGAACTAGCGAAAGTTTTACAAATACCTATGACTGCAATTAAATATGTATGTATTTTTAGAATGAGTAATTTCTAATTGAAATATCAGCAGCGGCCGGCCAGGTGAAGTAGGTGAATAGTGAGGTTCACCAAAAAAATATAATTAAATTAAGACAAATAAATAAATAAATAAAAGTTATGGTCTATATATTTATATCTAAATTCTGAAATCAATTATTTATTCTCTAAAAGAGATTTATTATCAGACAGCTAGCTTTATTAGCGGTGCGGTAGGTACTTGACTGTCAACTCGTGACCTGTGTCCATTGCTGTGTATGATTCAGGAATAGGTGAATATCATTTTTGAAATGCGAGATCCATCTGCATAAGTGTACACCTACATTGGAACCGTATTTCTCCCGATCCGATATCTGGCGACGTCGGCCGACGTCGTTTTAAGAACAAACTCAAGGTATTAAATCAGAGTGCCTATACTGCTTCGTCATGGAAGCAGTATAGGCACTATGATTTAATACCTTGAGTTTGTTTTCAATCCGACGTCGGCCGACGGATCGGATCCGGTTTTTCGGTTTTTTTTTAATCCAATAGGTTACAAGTTAGGTTTTTATCTTGCGATATTTCATTCGACTCGATATCAATATAATCAAAATTAGTACTATCGATCCTAATCCTAATTACAGTAAAAACCTAATAACCAGTTTTTACTTTAAAAATATTATTATAAAACCGGTTATAACCTGGACAAAAAAACCAACCGATAAAACCGGTTTTTGCAAAGTAAAAAAACAGTTTTCGGTTAAAACCAGTAGGTTTTTCCCATCCCTAGGCTGTAGTAATCGAAACTTTATAGTGGCCTGTCAATGAAAGGGATAGATTGATTGTATTGATCTTACGACAATCATAAAAAAGGGCAAAAATCGCGCTACGTTTATTTATTTAACATTTTTATAAAATCTGAGTTTATTTGCGGCAAAATACAAAAACTGCACAGCACCTGCAAACCAATGTATTTTTTCATGGAAAATTAATAGAGTTTTTTGTAATACTTGAAAAAATCTGAATTTTTTATGAAAAACATGAATATTCCCCCATAATTACCAAATTAATTACCTACAAATATTCGTCATCTCTGTTTAATTCACTATATTAATGTACTTAATTAATTTTTAAACAAAAGTATTTAAAAAATAAATTACTGTTAGTTCATTGAATTAAAAATATTTGCGGCCACTTTTTGACCGACAACTTATTAATGTATTTTTT